GACAGGACACGGAAGAGTTCAGAAGTGGGAGGAGTCCAGCCACCAGAAGAGGGCAGCACCTTCTTGGGATGAGAGAGGTTGACAGGCCTGTGTTTCTAATGGCTAGGGTTGTGGCAGAGTATTTGGAGGGATGGGGGGAGGTGGAACAGGGCCAGTGCCATTAAAAAAAACCTTTTTTTGAAAAGAGATGGGGGCTACCTTGGGCAGGTGCTGATGTATGGCCAGCCATACCGCATTACCTTAGAGCTTGAGCTGCCAGAGTCTCGTGTGAATCAAGATCTGGGCATGTTCTTGGTCACCATTTCATGCTACACCAGAGGCGGCCGAATCATCTCCACCTCTTCACGCTCCGTAAGTATTCATGGCCTGTCTGAGAGGGTGTGGAGAATGATGAGCAATGTCAGAGTATCTGGGTAGGGCTGCAGGAGAAAGCATCCTAGCTCTGAAGTCTTGGGCACATTGGGATAGGCAAGAGCCAGTTTACCAAACCAGACAGATGCCCCCAGATACCTGATTAGCATGTCCAGCTTTGGGGTAAAGTCTAAAGAGTAGAGCCTCCCTGAAAACAGGAGCTTATTTGGAACCAGGCAGACCTGGCCTTGAATCCTCACTTGGAAATATGCTAGCTGAGGGCCAACTTACTTAACTCTTGGTTATAAAATATTATAAATAGTATACTAGTAACTCACAGCAAGACTAGCTTGGATTCAATAAGGAAATGTAAAGTGCTTATTAGCACATAGTGGGTGTTTAATAAATGTTAGACTCCATTCTTAATTGTCAACAGAACCATATCATGAAGCAAATCCCCGAATGTCCACATGGGATAAAGCCTTCAGATGGTACACTGAGACGTACAGTCTCTTCTGAATTACAGAACCATTTGGGGGAAAGGTAGATCAGAGACAGTGTTGGGCTTCACCTAGGAAGGTTTCTCAGAAGAGAAGGCTTTGTTGTATTGGTATGGAGACAAGTGGTCCAGTAGGGCAGGGCAGGGATGTCACTCCAGAGTTTGCAATGGTTGGGTCAAGACTTGGGGTTTGGAACAAGTTCCAACCTACTGTATAGCACAGGGAACTACATTCAATATCTTGTAATAACCTATAATGAAAAAGAGTATGAAAAGGAATATGTATGTGTGTATGTGTAACTGAATCACTATGCTGTATGCTTGAAACTAACACAACATTGTAGATTGACTATACTTCAATTTAAAAAAAAGATTTGGGATTTGGAGGCGTGGGAGGAAAAGAAGGTGGGAGAGCAGGGGCCCTGAGGAGGAATCAGCCTTCACAGCCTGCTCAGGGGTGGTTGAGGGGTGGGTACCCCGCCCTAGCCTCTCCCTCCTGGCCCTGGCAGGTGATGCTGCATTACCGCTCGGACCTGCTCCAGATGCTGGACACGCTGGTCTTCTCCAGCCTCCTGCTGTTTGGCTTTGCAGAGCAGAAGCAGGTCCTGGAGGTGGAACTATACCCAGAATACAGAGAGAACTCGGTAAGGTGGGAAGGAGGACTGGGAGACAGCCCTCTCCATGAACCCAGAATCTTACCTGAGGAACTTCTGGGCTCGGTTAGGAAGGACAGCAACAGAGGCTGGAGGCGGGCCTCAGATTGGGCTGGTAAGAGTGACAGCAGCAGGATCCAGGCCTGACGCTGCTGTCCCTCCACCTCTGCGCCCCCTCCCCGCCCGCAGTATGTGCCGACCACCGGAGCCATCATCGAGATCCACAGCAGGCGCGTCCAGCTATACGGAGCCTACCTGCGCATCCATGCCCACTTCACTGGGCTCAGGTGAGGAAGCGCCGCAGACCAGGCCCCGGCAGCTCTCCTGGGGCCTGTGCTTAAGTGTTAGAGGGGCCTAAGCAGAGGCGGCAGGTTTTCCTTAGGCCACAGATTCTCAACCCTGGCCACACATCAGCACATTAGCTCCCTGGGGAGCTTTTAAAAAATGCTGATGCCTGGGCCCCACCCCCAGGCTGACTGAACTGGGATTTGTTAGGTTCATCTCTGGCCAGCAGACTCTTTGAAAGCGCAGCCAGGGTAGAGAATAACTGCTTAGTGGGTGGGAGGCAGAGGGTGGAGGCCGGCTACGCCAAACTTGTGACCTGCCCTGGAAGTTATTTCTGGGAAATGAGAAGGCCGGTGCTCTCCGGTGACAGGGTAATTACTGCTCCCTTCCTGTCCCTACTGCTGCCTCAGGTACCTGCTGTACAACTTCCCGGTGACGTGCGCCTTCATCGGCGTCGCCAGCAACTTCACCTTCCTCAGCGTCATCGTGCTCTTCAGCTACATGCAGTGGGTGTGGGGGGGCATCTGGCCCCGGCACCGCTTCTCTTTACAGGTTGCAAAGGACCCCTTTCCTCTCCCCTTCATGATCTTTCTTTGACTGGGGAGTGGGCAGGGGCGTGTTGGGGGCTGGGGCAGAAGGGCCCTGATCACTAGTGAGGGAAAGCAGTCCTTGCTGCTCAGGAGTTTTCACTCCACAGGTGAACATCCGAAAAAGGGACAGTTCCCGAAAGGAAGGCCAGCGAAGGATCTCTGCCTCTCAGCCAGGTAAAGGTGATGGTTGAGGGCTGGGTAAGCGGGGGCTCCTGTGCCATCCAGTATGAGGCTTCAGAAGCTCATAAACTGAGCTGAAGTTCAAGGGAAGGGCTGAACAGGGTGAAGTGGGCCCTGCCATCCAGGCGCAGCCACCCTAGCCCTGACCTGTCCTCTACCCCTTTGGAGGCACAGGGCCCCAAGGCCAGGAGGAGTCCACTCAGCTGTCACCTGTTACAGAGGATGGTGAGAACCAGGCAGATCCTTCGGGGCCAGGTACGGGGCAGCAGCCCTCCCTCCTTCCCTCCTGACTCCTCCTCAGCCCTCCCCTGCAGCCTCCTCCAGTCTGACCTGTGCCTCCCCTCTGGGGCTGCAGAGGGCCAGCCGTGTGAGGAGGAGAAATCAGATCAGCAGCCCCTGAGTGGAGAGGAGGAGCTAGAGCCCGAGGCCAGTGACGGTGAGTGCAGGACAGCAGGACCTAGGTGGGCTGGGGGTGGCATGTGGGTAGAGAGGGGGCCACACTAGGTGGGGGCAAGGGCCCCTGGTGATCTAATTTACCATTTGGGATTTTGTTTTTCCCTCCCCTGGCCCAGGTTCAGGCTCCTGGGAAGATGCAGCTCTGCTGACGGAGGCCAACCTGCCTGCTTCTGCCCCTGCCCTTACCCCAGAGACCGTGGGCAGCTCTGAACCCTCTGCAGGCACTGTCCGACAGCGCCCCATTTGCTCCAGTTCCTGAAAGGACGAGGGCAGAGTGGCCACATTCCAGCCCTTTCCCACCTGACCCCTTTCCCTTTCCGTGGCTTCCCCAATAAACTTATTTTCGTGCCAGCTGCTTCCCTGACTCTTTGAAACGGATTCAGGGTCATCTGAAAATCTGGTGTTCCCTAGGCATCCCCGACCCCTGATTGGAGGAGCTCGTCTTGTCAGGGGCTACCAATGGGGAAGCCTCCTGACCCTGGAATAGTTTAGGCACAGCTGTTTCCATTCATCAGCCTAAGAAATCTAAGGAGCAGAAACCTGCCCACTGCATCCATGTGACTCTCATCTCCCTCTGGGGAGGGGGATAGCTAGCATAGGGCGGGTCTGGAGAGCTGGGATACATCATTCTCCACACCCCTCCCTTTCTCTGTCCATTGGGAGGCAGAAGACAGGAAATGACTGCCATGGATGTGGTATGATTTTTTTTACCGAAACAGCATTTTGTAAACCAGGCCCTGTGCTGTCCACAGCTGTTTTCCTCTCTGTTACCAGCCAGGTAGCCCTGTCCTTTATGTTTCCCTCCTTATCCCCTCACATGACTTCAGCCTTTGGATTCTCAGCTCCTGGCTGCTTTCCACATTCCACTCTTTCAGAACCCAAGCATCCTGGCCTCCAGCTGAAACCACTGCATGTGGCTTCCCCCACCCCAGGCCCCGTGACTCAGGCCCTGTAAATGGACCAGCCCTCTTCTTGGCATTCACAGGGTAGGGGGGCAGAGGAAGGGGGGGCCAGGTGGTGACATCACAGTTAAGGGGTATAAAAGCTTTCAGCAAAACAGAACTGAAATTGAAGACGCTGACAAAACCTGACTGCGGACGCAGCCTATGCTCCTGGGGGCCCCTCAGGACCCTCAGCCTGCTCCTCACTACATCAAGGGCTACCCACTGGTAAGGAACGGCTCGTGGGCCAGGGAGGAGACAGGGAGGTGGGGGACCGGCAGGGACCAGGACTTATTCAACAGGTGGGAAGGGAGGGAAGGTTCCAGGGCCCCTGTGTTCCATCTCTCCTCTCTCACTACCATCTCCTTTCTGGGTTTCTGCGTGTGCCTGGGACTGGTACTTGTTTTACTTAGATCACTATTCCGTGTGGCAACTGAAAACGATTCCACCTTCCTTCCCTAGGCTGCAGAAATCATTTCCTCCTCTTCTCCTCCCCAGCCCTTTATTTATTCATTAACTGTTTCTAGTGCTTCACACATTGCTGGTCACACACCTCTCTCTGTCGGGTCATACCATATTTTACTCTTTTTCGCTTGAAACCAAGCACACAGGGTGTTCCTGTTCACAAGTTGGCAGCCAAATGGGTGTCTGTCTCATTCCCTTGTGTTTCCCTGTCCCTAGCGGTTTTGTTGAGGGAGGCGGCCTGCAAGGCCTGGGGGCTGAACAGCCTTTACCGCTCCATCTCCTTCCCTTCCAGACTCCATGCCGCGCCCTCCCTGCCTTCTGTGGCTCCTGGCTGTCACCTTCTCCTTGGTTCCCAGGGCGCAGCCCTTGGCCGCCGGGGGCTCTGAAGAAGACGAGAAATCTAAGACACCTTTGCCGGCTGTCCCCTGTGATTATGACCGCTGCCGCCACCTGCAGGTGCCCTGCAACGAGCTGCAGAGGGCCAGCCCGACGGCCTGCCTGTGCCCCGGCCTCTCCAGCGCAGCGCAGCCGCCCGAGCCGCCGCGCCTGGGCGAAGTGCTCGTGGAGGCCGCGGTCGGCCGCGCCGTGGTGCACTGGTGCGCCCCCTTCTCCCCGGTCCACCAGTACTGGCTGCTGCTTTGGGAAGGCGGCGGGGCTCCGCAGAAGGGCCCCCCACCTCAACTCGACGGTCCGCCAAGCGGAACTGGAGGGCCTGAAGCCCGGGGGCGCGTACGTCGTCTGCGTGGTGGCCGCCAACGCGGCCGGAGAAAGCAGCGTGCCCGGGCCCCAGAGCCAGGGCCTCGACAGCGCGGGCGGCCCAGCCTTCGGGCCCTGCGGCCGGCTGAGCGTGCCGCCGCGGCCGCTCACAGTGCTGCACGCGGCCGTGGGCGTGGGCTCGGCGCTGGCCCTGCTCAGCTGCTCCGCCCTGGTCTGGCACTTCTGCCTGCGCGACCGCTGGGGTTGCCCCCGCCGAGGCCGCCAGAACCGCAGGGGGCTCTGAGGCCAAGCCGAGCCCAAGGCCGCTGCGGGGGGAGGTGGCCGCCCGCTGAGGCCCACGCAGCCCGGACGGCCGGGCGCCGGGCCCTCGCTGAGTCAATGCTGGGCCAAGAGCTGGTTCATTCCAGACTTTACGCTCAGTTCGTGAGCTGAGTATTTAGGAGGCATAGAGAAGGTCAGCACATTTTTCCTTAAGGGACCGTATAGTAAATAATCTAGGCTTTGCTGTCCCACGGGATAAAATCGAAGCTATCCTGTGGGTACTTATATAATCATGTAACCCATTTGAAAATGTAAAAATGATTCTTAACTCTTGGGCCTTACAAATCAGACCGTAGCCAGAGTTGGCCCGTTGGCTACAGCTAGTCGACCCCTATCCTACACCCTCAAAAGAGCTCTGCCGCTAGGGGTGGCTTCAGTGGGGTTTGCGAATAAGCTGCTGAGGGATGGGAGACGTCTCCTGCCTTTTGTTTAGATGGTGAGGATATGCACGCCTGAGTTAGAATCCACCTGTGTCAAAGGAGGGTAGAAATAAATGACTGACCTAGCGTGGAGAAGGATGGTGAAAGCTGCTGTCAGGGACAAGCTTGCATTTTTGCTAGTAAAAATATAACAACAACAACAATAATAATACAATAAGGGGTTCCCTCTGCCCCCTTTTGTGTTTATTGTACATCCACTATAACAACATTAAAGGAAAAGGAAGATATTTTCATTTTTCTTGATCCCTTTCAATTCCCTGTCCACATACATATTTTTCAGAGTAGTATACATACTTTTGAGTTTATTTTTAAATTAACTGGATGTAGAAAAGTCTAAATTGCAACAGACTTTATTCCTCACTTTTACTGGTCTTATAACTTTTTTAAATTATAAAAGTAATATACAAATAAAACTGAAGAGGATAATATGAAAGTTCCCCTCCTTCTCAAGAGATAACTGCCTATAGCAGAGTAAATCTTCCTCCATGCAATGCAAATATTTTCCTTTTTCATTCACTGTATTATGGACAATGTTCCATGTTGGTAAATCATAGCCTCCTTAGTTATGTGAAAGGCTGCATAACTTTGCATAGTAGGATGCTCCTTAACTGAGAGTAGCCATAGCTCTTTGTTGGAACATTTAAGTTGCCTTCCATGTTTGCTCTGGACATCCTTGTTTATTGGTGTATCCTCACATCGTGTGTATTTCCATAGGGTACTTACCCGGAAGTAGGTGAAAGAGGCAGTACTATACAATTTAAACATTCTTTTATTGGATCTCTAGAATAAATTTAGAATACGTTTGTTATCTAGAATACACTCATCACATTGCCGTGAATACTTTGTGCCTTTTGATTTCTGTATTTCCTCAGCATTTATTCATTTACAAATAATGAGGCCCCACTCTCTCATCATATGATTTACATGCATTCTCACTTAATCTCTATCACAATGATTCCAAGAGATGGTTTCACCTTTTCGCAGATAAGAAGTTTGAAGTTCCGAATGGTTTGAAGCTACAAGTAAGGAGTTGAGTAAGGATTTCAGCCAAACTGCCTAACTCCAAAACTGATGCTCTTCACTCTACCAGGAAGAGGCAGCATAGCATAGCCGCCTGATGAATGCACACTGCATGGGTTTGAATCCTAGCTCTGCTGCTTACCAGCTCTGTGACTTTCAGTAAATTATCTCATCTTTCTCTGTTTCCTGTGACTAATAATAGTTTATACATCATATGGATTGCTGTGATGATTAAATATGCATTAACCACATAACAGTCTCAAATGCGTATATTATCATCAGTAACTTATTACTCTGTCTCCTAATAAGCATTTAAAGTGAGCTTTAACTTAAGGGACCTAACAGCCTAGGTAGTGGTGGAGAGCTAAGTAATAAACAAGACTACACAGCAGGGGGATAAATGCTAATGGAGTAAACACTGGAGCTGGGAGATGGAGATGGGGTGGTCAAGGCAGGCTTCCCTTAGAAAACAAACCTGGAGTCCAGCCCCCAAAATGGGAGTTATGCAAGCCCACGGAAGAGGTGGGACATCCCAGACAGGTACATACAAAGGCCCTGAAGAGGGAGAGGGCCTATTTTGCAATCTGCACAGATTACCCTAAAGTGGTGGGAGATGAACTCCGCACTAACATTTACACAATATAGTCGTCTTGCCAGGCATCTAAGGCTGGTGCTATTGTTATCCTCACTTTACAGATGGGACATTAACAAAAAAAGTGTAGGAGGAAGCCAGACTAGCAGCATTTAAGTATTCTCCTGGGTGACAGGGATGTCATGGAGAAGTTTTAATCAGAGAGGTGATGACAGAATCAGATATTGTGTTTTGCAAAGATTTCTTTGGCAGTGAGGGGGAGGATGGCTCAATTCTCCGGAAAGGCTGAGCAGGTCAGAGTGCTCACAGTTCTAAGGCTCCTGATAAACATCGTTAAATAACTTTCCAACCGGTTGCGCTAAGGGGCCATACCGCCAGATGGCTTCATTCTGACATGGGTCTCAGGGTGGCGTCATCCTCCTTCTTCATCGCCGCCGGGCGCCCCGGCTTGGGGTCGGGGGAGGTCTCCTCCCGGCCTGCGACCCCACGCGCGGCTGCCCGGGTCCGCGTGGGGTCGGGACAGAGGGGCCAGGCCTGCGTTTTCTGGCTCTCGGCGGCACCCGTCCACGTCCGCTTCCACGTGACCCAAACAGTTTCGGCCACTTCCGCTTCCCCTAGGCTTTCTTCTCCGCGGTGTCCGCGGCGGATCCGGAGCGGGTGAGTCAGGGAGCCCCGGGCCCGGGCCGTCGGGGGTGGGATTGCGTGCGGGCCGGGGGCACCCGCGCTGACCCCCTCCGCTCTCCTCGCCACTCCCAGGTCCCCGCGGAAGCGGCGGTGGCGGCGTCATGGCGGAGCTGACGGCTCTGGAGAGCCTCATCGAGATCGGGCTTCCCCAGGGGACGCGCGTAAGGGAGCCCCCTAACCCCCTGGGGACCTGTCCAGGCCTTTACCCCAGCCTGGCCTCAGGTTCTACGCCCCAGCCTGACCATCGCCATGGCTCGTGGGCGCTATTCACGGTGTTTCTGCCCCCAGGGAGAAGGCTTTGACTCTCACAGGGAACCAGGGTATCGAGGCTGCGATGGACTGGTGAGCTCTCAGACCGAGTGGCAGGGGACTGGGGACTGCTAGTAGAGGCAGCCTCAACTTTAACCTCTCTCCTGACTTTCCTTGCTAGGTTGATGGAGCACGAAGACGACCCCGATGTGGACGAGCCACTAGCGACCCCTCTTGGACATATCTTGGGACGGGAACCCACCCCCTTGGAGCCAGGTAGCCCTGAAGGCCCTGACTGAGGGACACAGTGTGATTATTCAGGAGGGCCTGAGGAGGAGGTTAAACGGGTAATAATACTGACTGCTTGTTTGTAGGACCAGCGCCTACTGCGGGAGAAGGCAAACCCGTTTTGAGTGAAGAGGAGAGACAGGAACAGACTAAGAGGTATAAGAAACAATCTCACATATCTGAGGGTCACGTTCCACCTCTCCTCAGTACACAAGTCTGATCAAAGAACCTGCAACTTTCCGCATTCCCTCTGCCTTTTTTCTTGGTGTTACTTTGTTTCTTTGATTTGTTTGGGGGCCATGTTCCCTGATTTTGTTTTTTGAGTCCCTTGTTACAAACTCACCTTCCCAATTTATGTCCATTTCTCTTGAACTCTTTCCTTTCTGCAAAACAGGATGTTGGAGTTGGTGGCCCAAAAGCAGCGGGAGCGTGAAGAAAGAGAGGAGCGGGAGGCATTGGAACGGGAACGACAGCGCAGGAGACAAGGGCAAGAGTTGACAGTTGCCCGACAGCGGCTACAGGAAGATGAGATGCGCCGGGCTGCTGAGGAGCGGAGGAGGGAAAAGGCTGAAGAGTTAGCAGCCAGGTCTGCATGCTGGAAGTGTTGGCTGAGAGATGAGAAAGGAGTCAGGATTTACATTGTCAATGTCTGACCTACTTTCTTCCTGTCTGCGTTCCAGACAAAGAGTCCGAGAAAAGATTGAGAGGGACAAAGCAGAGAGAGCCAAGAAGGTAGGTGATGGAGAAGAGACTGGGGGTGATGAAGTAGGTGGGCTCGTAAATCCCCGTCTGTAGCTGCAGAGGGAAAGGATGGGCTTAGCGTCTGATGGTTTCACTTTTGTCTTCCAGTATGGTGGTACTGTGGGTCCTCAGCCGTCCCCACCAGCAACAGAGCCAGGTCCTGTTCCCTCCTCTCCCAGCCAGGAGCCTCCCACGAAGCGGGAGTATGACCAGTGTCGCATACAGGTACTGATTCTGATTCCTGTTTCGTTCCTGGGACCCCTTTGTTGGCGTATAAGGCACCCCATCCAGAGCTTTTTTCAGTTATGTTCCCTTTGCCAAACCTCTCCCTTCATCATAAATGACTTTTGAAATCCTACCTCTTCTGCTCTTAGGAAAGATATCCAATTTCACTTGCCCCAGTCTCATTTAAATCCATACTGCTCTCTCAGCAGTTGCCATTTTAGTTGTTCATAATGTTTTCATTTGGTTTATTATACAGCTGTTTGCATGATGGAATGTCTATCCGGATATTTTGTATGGTTTTGTCCCTGTTTACCTTAAATTGTGAGGGAGCCAGGGGCCTCTCTCTTCAATGTTCAGTAAAGCCAAGCACAAGTGGTTGTTCATTAGATCCTTTAAATAATAATTATGCTGGTTCAGTCTCTGAGAGGAAGGAGAAGACAACTTTTCTCTTCTTTTCCTTACTAAGGCACCTCACTCAGTTTTGACGCTCATAATACTGGATCTCTCCCTTGCCCTCTAGGTCAGGCTGCCAGATGGGACTTCACTGACCCAGACGTTCCGGGCTCGGGAACAGCTGGCAGCAGTGAGGCTCTATGTGGAGCTCCACCGTGGGGAGGAGCCAGGAGGTGGCCAGGATCCTGTGCAGTTGCTCAGTGGCTTCCCCCGGCGGGCCTTCTCAGAGGCTGACATGGAGCGGCCTCTGCAGGAGCTGGGTATGACACGTGGGATCAGAAACCAGGACTTGGGGACTAGGGGATGTGCCTGAGAAAGGAAGGGATGCAAAGACGGGACTTGGTGGAGATGGTGGGAGGCCAGGAATTGGGAGGTGTGGGGAGGGGGAAGGAGCAAAAGGCAAATATCTTTTGGTTCAAACCTGTTTTCTTTCATCTTCAGGACTTGTGCCTTCTGCTGTCCTCATTGTGGCCAAGAAATGTCCTGGCTGAGAAGCCTTTATCGCACCATCTTTCTCTGACCTCTCATCTTTGATAAAGCACTGACATCTCCTTCCTAATAAATAGACCCTCTGAGTTCTATATGTGCCTGACTCCTTCCTGGAAGGCCGGGAGGGACAAAACTGAGGCAGATGAAGCAGCTAAAGGGAAGGCGTTTAGAATAGACCCTGTTCCTTATCTTAAATCTCCAGGGGCAACTTGTTCCTAATCTGTGTCTGATTAGTTGCTTGGGAGGCTGAGGGGGAGAGGCGCTAGAGTGTGGGGAGTACCCTGGATAGCACCTGTGGGTAGGGCGGTGCCTCAGTCTGAAATCCTTACTAGCTATGTGCCTTGACTTCTTTTAAGCCTAGTTTTTTTTGGGGGGGGGGGATTAGGTTTTCTTATTTATGTATTTATTTTTTGGAGGAGTTACCGGGGATTGAACCCAGGACCTTGTGCATGCTAAGCATGTGCTCTTCCGCTTGAGCTATAGCCTTCCTGCTAAGCCTAGTTTCTTCTTTAGTAAAACCAGGATAATAGTACCTGTTGGGGTTTGGGTGGCAGTGGGTATATAATGCTGATATAATGTTCTTTAGCCCAGTGCCTGGCACCTAATAATCCTTAATAAGTATTGGCTACTCAAAGAGTAATTTTTTAATGTGGCCATTCACAAACTGAGAGGAGCATTGGTGACCTTCACAACTGCATGTCTTTACACTAAAAAGTATTGAGTACTTAATATGGACCACAGTTTTAAGTGCTTTCTATGTATTAACTGAGATGTGACGGCACTAGCTGTAGGTGTAGTCCCATTTCAGAGATTGGGACACCAAAGCTCATGACTTGCCCAAACTGACACAGGTAGCAAGTGGTAGACCCTGGACACACACCTTGGGAGCCTGACTTGGGCTCGGGCTCTGAACTGTCAAGCTCCATCATCGTAGCCCCTCTTGCTAGTGCTGAGCACCTCATTCTAGTGCTCCCTGTAACGGATGCTGACCCTTTCCTCTTATACCCAGGTTAGGGAAGAGGCCACAAATAAACTGCAAAGATCACACATGACAAATGTGTTCAGCTTATGACCTTACCGTCTGGCAGCTGAAAACTGCATCAGAGCTCCTATCTGGGTTTACACCTGTGTTACCAAGCTTTATTTAGTGTTCTGGCTGTATTTTATCAAAGCAGCTGCCTCTGACACATTGTAATCTTGTTTGGGACCACAGGACATAAAATAGACAAAAGGGAAGTGAACTGGTTGACTTGGCTGTGGGGGTGCCACCCCACTGATAGCTTTATCAGCGGCATATCCAGTAGCTCCTATGACAGGCTTCAGAGATTGAAAACTACTACAGTGAACACCTTGCAGGAGGAAAACGCCACTGCACTTAGTGAGAGGCTGTTCTGTGCCAGGCACTGCACTTTACATTCCTAAGTTCACCGTTTTACAGGAACCTTCGTGATAATTACCCTTTACGGAGCAGACCTGGGGCCCAGAGAGGTTTTAGAACATGCAGGAGTTGAAACAAGATCTGACTGAAGGCCCCACCCCTTTTACTACTCCTAGCACGGTGGCCTCCAAAGGTTAAATTTAGGCCATAGAAGGCACTGTGGCACGTGTTAATTGCTAGAAGCCCCCACCTCAACCTCATTCGAAGGACAGGAACCCAAAGTGTCCTCTATGGGCATTTATTGCGTAGGAGTTTCCAGGACAGTTATGATTTCAAGAATGTCACTTTGTTATCCCCGAAAGCACACACACACACAGACCACATGACCTGACTTGTGTTTTGAAAACGTGGTCGCTCTGCCTATTGGGCTTCAGCCTCACATGGGGGGCGGAGCAGGCGCAAGCCACAGTCATCCTCTCCCGCAGCACCGACCCCCAGAACGCTCTAGGCTTTTATGGGCGTCCAGCCGAAGGGTTCACTCTCCAGATGGAGGAACATGATTTGTTGGTTCCTTCAGTTAGCCACATCCGACGCCCCAGCCCGCGATGTAGACGTTAAAGCGCAGTCAGTGCAGGGTTTAGGGGGAACGTGCTCACCCGGCGGCATCTCCCTAGGTCCCGGACAGGCCGGCGCATGGCATCTGGGTCTGGACTTCCCGCCAGCCCATGGAGGGGAAAGGCCACCTAGGGCTCCTGCGCTGGGGCGGAGGCCCCAGCGCTCACGGGGGCAGGTCCAGGCTCAGGCTGACCTCCCGCCGCCGGGGCTCATCCAGTTCTTCCTCCAGGCCACGTTCTCTTGCGTGGCCGCTGCCTCCTGCAGAGTGGCCAGCAGTAGCTGTTTGGTCCTGGCCGCCTCGTCCCTGCGCTGTGGGTCCTGCACTGGCATCTCCTGCGGGCCGGAAGGGAGGTTCGCAGTGCGGGTCCTCAGCCCGCGGTTCTCCACCCCCGCACCCCACCTCCGCTTCCCAATTCCTCCCACCTTCAGCATCGCCTGCTTCTGCTGCTCTCCCGGGGTCACAAGGACAAAGAGAGCCGAGCCCACGCCAGCGCCCGCGCCTAGCACCGCGCCCGCTATCAGCACTTTGCGCAGCGTCCCCATGGCCGACAGGGCGACCAGCGAAGCGCCCTCCAGTGTCTCCCGCAGCCTAGCAAGGCGGTCGCGACATCTCACTGCCCCCAGCGCGGGCTAGAGCGTCCCATACAGGAAACCATAGAGACGGGGCCGGGCTAGAGAGGGCTTGGCCAGGGAAACGTTTCGAATCTGGAGCACCCGAGTCTTAAGATGAGATTTAGCTGAGAAGGTTAAGCACGTCAAGAGGTGTTGGCACCCAGAGCCGAGCACAGGGCCCACTGTCATGAAACCCTGAGTGGGACTGCTCAGGGGAGAGTGCATGTCTTCATGGTTGCTGTGGGTTATACAGTTGCCCAGCTCTGAAAGGTCTTGATCCACAGAGGGCTAGGGCTGTCCTCTGTAGTTTCCTGCAATAATTTGTGCTTTTCCAGTACAGTCCGTAATGGACTTCCAGGTACTTATAAACATCTATCTATTGACACCCTTCAGTCCCTTCAACTCCTGAACAAAAACTCAAAGCCAAGTGTACCGGGGGTGGGGGGAAGGGTATATTTATATATTTTCCTTTTATCTTACTTGTTAAAAGTAAACATTAGTTTTCTCTCCATGGCATACCCTTGGCATTTTTTTTTCAACCATGAAAACTAGATTTTGTGTCACATACTGAATTCTAGTTTGGAGAAGAAAAAACCTCTTAGCTGTGTGACTCTGGGAAAGTCATTTGAGATCTTTGTGCCTCGGGGTTTCTGCATCAGGAAATGAGACTATTAACAGTATCTATCTCTTAGGTTTAGGATAATTAAATACGTTTATACGTAAAGCATTTAAAACAGTTCCTGCCAAATAGTAAACACCATATTAATATTCATTAAATAAGGTAGAAAATTAGAGGGAACTTGGGAAATCCAGTAAGCAAAAGAATCGGGAAATTTCAAGTCTGTTTTCAAAGCTCTTTACTCACAGAGCTTTAATCCAGATGCCCTTAACTCTTACCCCTTCCACCTTTCCCAGTGTCACCAGGGAGAGAGTAGAAATAAAATTCCTATCCCACCTCTGGGGACTGTCCCCTCCCTGGAAGGCTCATAATCTCCTAGCATGTCAGCCTCCTCTCTTCAGAAGTGATTAAGGGGCCAGGCTCCAAAGAAGATTAAAGGAACAATCTGTGGGGTGCACTGGGCAGGGGTAATCTACTCCAAGTTCAACCACCCTGCACTCTAAGAATCAGCACCCATGGCCCTTGTGCCAGGGAGCAGCGAGGATGGGCCTTGGCCCAGAGATAGCCCAGGCTCCTCTCAGCATCCAGGTAGTCCTAGGGTGACCAACCGTCTCTGGAAGGAGAGAGGAGAAATTGGCAGAGTTGAAGGTCACCAGGATGTCCAGGTTAGTACTTTCCCACCCTGTGTCCTGCTGTTTGCTCATCCTCTAATTTGGCCCAAGCTCCCTGCTGTTCCAATTTAGGTTGTCTCTCAAAAGACCCGCATCCCCTCCATTGTGGTGGAAGACTCTGAGGTGAGTGAAGAAAGTGGGGAGCTCCGGTGGCCACATGAGGAGCTGCTGCTGCTCACTGATGATGAGGAAGAGGAGGCCGAGGTCTTCTTCCAGGACCAAAGCGAAGACGCAGGTGAGGGAGGTGGCTCGTTCAAATGGGACTGTTGTGACTTGGATGTTCTAAGCTGGACTAAGTGAGACAGCTTAGTTGCGTCCTCTGCATTAAGCAGCACACAGTAGGTGTTCAGTAATTACAGAAGTGGGAGATAAAAGTCATGATAAAAAAAAGTCATGGTGGTTGGCAAAGTTGAACTCTAAAGAGCAGTTGCAATGTCAGGTAGGTGACACCTTTTAATATGAATTTTTAATGTGTACTTTTAATATTTTAAAATATTTACATTGTTATAGGGGAAAAAGATAATAAAATCACCCCAAATCCAACTACCCAGAGGTAGTCAACATTTTGGATGTTTTCTCTTCTAGACTTTTCATCAAGTCTATAAACTTATAGAAGCTACTTTTCTCTCTTTTGAACATTTATGTGTCAGGTACTGTGCTAAACACTTTCCCCTCATGATTTGCAGGACCCAGTGAGGGAGGATACTTTCTCCCTCATGACGAAACTGAGGCTGTGAAGTTAGGCTCTTCCTTGTAATTACTGTATTATTTTTATAAGCAAAAAAGTTACAGGAATTTATTTTATCTTTAATGGGCTAACTCCCATCCCTGCACCACCCCAGGCTGGACTTGGAGTTCACTGGACCCTAGATCTCCCTTAAGAACCCTTAACCCAGAACTCAGCTGGGGGCAGGAACAAGTAGAGCAAGACACCTCCTGGATTCCAGAGGACACCGAGTGTCAGGAAGCCCCCAATCCCTGTCCTCTCTGGGACCCAGCATCAGGCTCCCGTGTCTGCAGAAGCTGCTTTGTGGAATATTCCCATTTCCTGCCTCCCAGGAGCTTTGAGGGTAAGTACCACTTTGTCTCCCTCAAACATTTCGGCTTGGTTTATGCCTTCTACCCATCCTTTCACAATCTTCCCCTTTTATAAGTGAGAAAAATGAGGCTTAAAGTTCAGGCCACTGGGTCACACAAGTCATATCCAGTGCTGGGATTGGATTAAGAATCTGCTTTAGTTAGTTGGGGGTGGGGAATGATCCACTTGTACCTTCCCTGATCAGCACTCATCTCGTGCCTGGCACTGCCAAATGTTTCGCTTACCGTTGTACTTAATCCCTGTAACTCCAGGTATTATACCAACCTTGCAGATGAGTAAACTAGGGCACAGTAAATGTGGAAGCCAGAACTCAAATCCTCATTTTCCAGTCATCTGGCAAAGATAAAGCTCTCTCCAACGCTCTCCTCATCCAACAGGAACACTATGGTCAGGTCTAAGAAGTCTTTAATCAGAGCCTTGAACCAAGTAAGCAAAGTAGGTGATACCCCTGAAAGGGCCCAGCTCCTGCACAGTCACAGTCCACTCTTTGGACTCTTGCTCCAGGCAGGGCAGCCGCACATCAGGGTCCTCATCTGAGAACTGAATCAGGGTCCCCTGGGGGCTTAGGACCCTCAGGCATTCTGACAGCAGCTGGTAAGCTCCAGGAAGACCACCCCGGGCAACAGCATCCCAGGTGCCCTTGTCTAGCACTAGCTGGAAGGAGCCTGAGGAAGCCACTGGCTCCAGGTTCTGGGCATCAGCCTGCATGAAGTGGAGGCGTGAGGCAGGGTGCCCAGGGCACAGGGGTGTTTGGCCTTGGCCGCCTTCCAGGAGGCTGTTCATGTGGGCCACAGCCACAGGAGAGAAGTCCACCCCCAGCACGTCCACGGGGTGTGGGCACTTGGTGTAGAGGCCCGTACACAAGGTTGAGGTCCCACAGCCCACGTCCAACACCCGCGGTGGACAGGCAGCCCCTGCCTTCCGCAGCAGGGGCAGTAGAAGCCCCTGGGCTTCCTCGTAACCAAAGAACCAGTCGAAGGTGCGGACGCTGCCCTGACGGGGTTGGGCGTGGAGCTTATCCCAGAGGCAGCAGTCGGCCAGGCAGCTACCAGCCAGGGAGCCTGTGGACGAGTGGAAGACATGCGTCACCCAGTGTGCCCAGTTCTATCAAACTGCTGAAAAATCGGCGTAATGTGCCGTGGAGTTTTTTTAAGAATAACAATTTCAGGAACTAGACTCCTGGGTCACGAAGAACCCACCATGCCCTCCCCACTCTGTCCACCTTCCGTACCGGACAAGGGGCGGCGCGCCCCCGCCGCCAGGCTCGCCACGTGGAGGGTTCGGCGCAGGGCTGCCATCGCGAGTTGCCGGGAAGGTCCTGAGGTCCAAGGGAAGAGCTGCAAAATCCGCTTTGAGGAATCACGCGTACAGCCTTCCTAACTCTGCAGCCTCCGAAAAATGAACGCGGACACAAACTTACTACGGTACGAACGACTTTATTGTTTGCAACGGGAAGTTAAAGTGGAGGGGATGTGACAGCTTCGACTCCTGGGGCGGCTCCACAGACCTGAAATCAAAGGAGAAGGCGTGAGCACCCTGGGGAGGAGCCTGCTGAACCTTCGTTCGGCCCGGCTCCTTGGAGACGTGTCCCGGCGCTTGAGGATAGAACCGGCGGACTGGAAGCAGCCGGTACCGAAGACATGACGCCGAGGGGGCCAGAGCCCTTTCCCTCTCTACCTCCGTACATTACGGGGACCGGGACCGCACGCCCGACCCCCGCCAAGAAAAGGAGGGTCCACAGGCCCCACCCAGCGCCTTCGCCCAGCCCTGCAGATATCACAACAAACCCACACTTACTCGGTCGCCGCCCTTGAAAAGACCAAAACGCCCTCAGGACTCCTTTATATAGCCCTAGGGCCCGCGCCCGAGCTGCGATTGGATAGTTGAGGGCTGAGGGGGCGGGGCCCACGCTGACCCTGCGCCGAGCGGAAACGTGAACCGGGTAGCCTGCCTCGCAAGGAAGCCATGGGTGCTCCGGGTGGAAAGATCAATCGGCCCCGAACGGTGATTGTGTGGGAGTCCCGACTTTGTTTCCCAAGGATCCTGGAGCCTTTTAATTTTGCCCGAGATAGCCAATGAGCCACCATCGCCGGTGCGGGATCCCGCGTCCCGGGTTGCGGTGCGCGGCCGCCGTCTGATAGCATCTTCTTCCCCTATAGGAGCTGAAGAAGAAGCTGTTCAAGCGACGGCGGGTGTTGAACCGGGAGCGCCGACTGAAGCACCGGGTGGTCGGGGCTGTGATAGACGAAGGGCTGATTACTCGGCACCACCTCAAGAAGCGGGCGTGAGTGCCAGACCTCTTCCCCTGGGTCGTCCCCACGGAGTCTCCTTCCCTTCTCCTTGTCAAGCTCCTGGGCCGCTAACACCTCTCTGCTTTCCTTGTGCACTCACGTTTATGCAAGGAAATACGAGGGCCTCTCAATGTACCGGTAGCCCACAGCCTTTCTTTGGGTCTTGGACCTCACTGAGAATCTAAAGAGACCTGTGGACTCCCCCACCTCCCCAGGAACATTGTACATTCACATAGTTTTTTGTAAGTAAATTTAAAAGCATGCGCATAAGTGTGCAGTGAACAACTTGATGAATTTTCACAAAGACACAAGTGGGATTTTGCATGTAAGTTTTAAGGCCACCCGAGTTTTGGAGAAGAGTTCCCATCCCATCCTTTATACTTATTTAGTATAAATACTTACAGTTTATAATATGGCATAATAAATATATTTAGTCTTTGTCTCTGGTTTCTGGCAGAGCTCCTAGAACTCTCAGTATTTCCTGAGTGATAAGTGTTTTATTTCATAAGGATCCCCTTTTGAGCACACCTAAGTTTATGCTAATGATGACAGGGTGAGGCTGGTCACCAAAAGATAAAGTGATTAGAAGATTGGAAAATTAAGCCCCACCCTTGACCTCTTGGAAGGTGGCTGGGTGCGGAGATTAAGCTCTATACAAATTCTTGAACAAGCTCTCTGCATTTGTGAACAGGTTGGGGTGCTGGGAGGTTGGCTCACCTGGAGACGGCACAGAAACTCCTGGCCCCTTCCCCATGCCTTGCCCTATGCTTCTCTTCCATCTGACTATTCCTGAGTTGTGTCATTTTAAAATAAATCAGTAAATGCAAGTGAATGTTTCCCTGAGTTCTGTGAGCTGCTCTAGGAAATCATCCAGTCTGAGAAGGGGATCATGAGAACCCTGATTTATGGCCAATCAATCAGAAGTACAGGTGACAACCTGGATTTGTGATTGGTGTCCAAAGTGGAGGAAGCCTTGTGGGACTGTGCCCTTAACCTATGTTAATCTGATGCCATCTCCAGGTAGATGGTGTCCAGATGGAGTTAAATTTGTAGGACATCCAGTCAATGTCCACTGAGGATTTGGCAAATTTCTTAATGTGGGAAACCAACCCCTACTACCACATCCGGTGTCAGAAGTATCAAGAATAAGAGGAGAAGAAGAGTATTCTCTCATAACTTTCTACTGTATACTAAATTTCAACAATTAATGTTACTTTATGGATGTGTTGAGATTAGTTTTAGGTAAAGTATGTTGATATCTAAGTGTGGAGATATTTAACTCGCTACCTTAGAGCCCAGAGTTTTAAAGAATTCTTTGACTTGGATCTAAAGACCTTTTCAATAACCAGAACCACTGTGTGGCCTATGTTGGTTCAGGTTAACCTGGATATCTTTTCTCCTACCAACCTTTCAGGTCCAGTGCCCGTGCCAACATCACTCTGTCTGGGAAGAAGCGCAGAAAACTCCTCCAGCAGATCCGGCTTGCCCAGAAAGAGAAAGCAGCCATGGAAGGTGAGGCTGGGCACAGAAGTTGGGTGAGGGGGCAGCCTGGATTCATCTGGGTTCTTAAATGCTTCCTCTTTCCCTTTGTTCAGTGGAAGCCCCCGCCAAGCCAGCCAGGACTAATGAATCACAGCCCAAATCAAAAAAGAAGACAAAAGCTCCCCAGGATGTAGTCATGGAGGACGTTGAAGATGAGAGCTAAATCTCACCCCTTCCACCAGGAGATGCTCATCTGGAGCTAGGATGACTCAATGGCTGTTTCTGGAAACTTTGGAGAAAGCACTGCTCCTTTTCACTCTCCCCAGATTCCCCTTCCGTAATAGCCTAGTGACCTGCTCTGGAGAGATGTATTGAGAGGAAGAGGGTAGAAAAGAAAGATTGGAGAGTGGGCTTCTAGCATTCCACTCCATTTGTAATAAGCCCTAGAATTCTCACTGAGATGTGTGTGATTGTATGTTGGAATGGGCATGGGCCCTGAAAAGGGGCTGTGAGTGGGCAAACAAGACAATGGGGAAATAGGACCCACAGAGCTTACTTGAGCAAAGACAGCAAGCAGCCAACCTCCATGATGGCCCTTTCTCCCTAGTGAGTGATACTCCAGCTTTCCATTTCTGACAAAATAAAGATTACTGTAGAGATGGCAGAGGAAGTAAAGGTCCTGATACCAGCCCTGCCACTTCCCCTGTTTGACCAGGGTGGGCAAGGGACCATGTTTGTCTCTGTTTCCTTTGCTGGACTGTATTTTTAATAAAGTGAACATTATTTTTCCCCTTTAATATTCAGAAGGTCTGTTTGTTGGAAGCCAGGGCTGGGGTGGTTAATTATAGTGAGAAGCTGCCTGTGCAGAGCTGTGCTCAGTGAGTGAAAAACATATTCTCTTCTTGCTGTGTTTAATCAGTGCAGGCTTCCTGGAAGAGGGAGGGTTTGCTTCTCCCTTTATATTTTGAACAATTTCAGACCCTCAGTAAAGAGGTTAGTAAAATAAACCCTTATATATGCACTCTACCTGGGCTTAGCAGTTTTTAACATTTTGCTACAATTGATCTCCTATTTGGGTATATGTATGTGCGTTATCCTTCTGACTCATTTGAAAGTCAGTTACAGATGAAATTTTATCTCTAAACCTGCTTCTATATAGCCAGAATACCCAAGACATTTAACACTGGTATAGCTAAAATTCAATTTTTCATATTCAAAGTTCCTCAGTTGTTCCAATAATATTCTTTATAGCTGTTTATTGTTTCCTCAATCCAGGAGCTAATTAAGGATCACATATTGCATTTAATTGTCATGTCTCTTTAGTCTCCTTCAATCCAGAAAAATACCTCTACCTTGTCTTAGATGACAGCGTCTTTGAAGAGCCTAGCCCAAATTAATTAATTAATCCATTTATTTATTTACTTCAGAATATCTCGTAACTTGGATTTGCCTGTTTCCATATGTTTCCTCATAATTAGATGTAGGTTAAGCATTTGGGGGAAAAATTCTACAGAGATAATACTGTGTACGTCCCATTGCATTTCATCAGGAAGTATGTGTTCATGGAGAAAAAAATACACAACCTAAAAGTTGAGAATTATGGGGTTTTTTTTAATTGAAGTATGGTCAGTTACAATGTGTCCATTTCTGGTGTACAGCATAATGTTTCAGTCATATATATATATATATATATATATATACACACACACACACATATACTTGTTTTCATATTCTTTTTCATTGTAGGTTACTACAAGATATAGAATATAAATAGTTCCCTGTGCTATACAGAAGAAAATTTTAGATCTATTTGTATATATAGTAGCTAATATTTGCAAATCTCAAACTCCCAATTTATCCCTTCCCACCCCTTTCTGCCCTTCCCCCCCCCACAGTAACCATAAGATTGCTTACTATGTCTGAGTCTGAGAATTATGTTTTATTTGGCAGACTCACTGAGGACTTAAGCCCAGAAGACAGCCTCTCAGGTAGTTCTGAGAGAGTATTCTAAAGAAGTAAGGGAGGAGCCAGGTTACAGAAGAGTTTTTGCAACAAAAACCAGGTAGTCGGAACAGCAAAGATTATTGTTAATTAAAGAAAACCAGTTATTTCAAGTTAATGAATTAAGTGCTTTTTTAGGTATGGGAAGATGCAAGAGACTGGGATCCTTAAAATCATTCCTTTGATATGCACTTTAACTATCTAGGGCCAGTATCCTATTCTTTCCCATCCTGAATCCCCTCAGAGTGTACCGCTGGGGACAGCTGCAGTGGTTGACTTGGTGGCAGGCAGTCTATCTCCATTCTGAGTTGCTTCAGGGCTCACTGTTGGGCGGCTGTAGTTGTTGACGGCTTGGTGGTGGCAACATCTTTTGTTTACTGATATGGCAGGTGACATTTTTCACCCATATATGAAATACCTGTTTAATTATTGGTGATTCCCAGTGTTAAGTGGGTGTCTGTCAGATTTCTCCTCTGTTAGGGTATCCTTTCCCTTTGTAATTAATAAGCAATCTATGGGGTGATACTTTGAGACTGTATGAACAACCTGTTGCCAAAGATCTCTCAACAATGGTTTCAGCATCCATGATGATCCTTACCTGAATTAGTTACTGCCGCAAAATGGTGATTTTTCTAATTCTATCATTAATTCATCCATGTTATTCATTTGACATATTCTGTAAAGGAAACCCCTACCTCCTTAAAATCTCATTTAGGTTGTTTTTTGATGGGTTATAATCCATTACTATTGCTTTTTCATGCTCAAAATCATACCAAGTTTGGCCAGTAGGAGCCTCTTCTAGGAGCTCCCTGTGGCCTTTTGACACAACACCATCAGTATTTGAGCACTTCCTTGTTTTCTGGCACAGTATGTTCAAGGCTCACCTGCTAATTCCCCTGGGCTAAAACTTGGTATCAGCCATTTTTTCTAGGAAACAGTATCATGGCCAGTTTTGAACACAGAAGGGAAAGAGTACAGAAACTGAACTGTATTCAGAT